TGTCAGACTTGAGAGGAACCTTAGAACACAGAACATCAGAGCTGGGAGGGCCCTTAGAACACAGAATGTCAGAGTTAGAAGGGGCTTTAGAATACAGAATGTGGAATTGGGAGGAATCTTAGAACAGAATGTCAGATCCAGAAAGAGTCTTAGAACACAGAATGTCAGACCTGGGAGGACCCTTAGAACACAAGAGTGTCAGAGATAAGGGGACCATTAGAACAGAGCATGTCAGGGTTACACCTTGGTTGAACTTGAAGTAGACCTCAGGTGTCTTGACTCACCCCAGTTCTGTATTCTTCTGGCTATGCCATGCTGCCTCCTTAAGGAAGGGCAGCTAGGTGGGGCAGTACCAGCCCTGGAGTCAGGAGGACCTGAGTTCAAATGCAGCCTCAGACGCTTGACATTTACTAGCTGTGTGACCCTGGGCAAGTCACTTTACCCCAATTGCCTCACCTAAAGAAAAAAAAAAGAAGGGGACACTGCCTGAGCTAAGGCTGAGGCTGGATTGAACAGAGGATGAGTACCCTGAGACAGTGGCTGTCTTTGGTGAGCGGTAGGAAATAAGGTCACCAAAGGTGGATGATTCTGGCCCTTTGCTGCTTCTGGAACCAGAAACTCCTCAGTTTCATTACTTATCATGCTCCCTGTTGAGCTGGCTGGATCTTGTGTCTCATTCCTTGTTAGGGATCCCAGACCTGAGGGGGCTGAGCTGATACCCTCAGGCTTCCCTGTGGCCTTCCAATTCCTGCTCCTATCTGGGACCTGCAAGCAGCCCTGCATGGTAACCCACCCTCCCCAGCTGCTGCTGAGTCACCCAGTTTGTGGCCCCTTGTCTCATGGTTTGGCTCCGTCACAGCTCTCTCCCTCTGCCCCCGCCCCCAGCACTGCCCCACTTGGCAAACCCCAGGAGGAGAAGGCCTTGGTAGGGGAATGAGACCAGAGCCGCGTCATCCCAAGAAGTCAGCAAAGGCTAGAGAAAGCACTCCTTCACAGGAGAGTAGGTCAGGTTAGGGAAGGGGAGGAACAGGGCTTCTGTCAGCCTTTGTCTTTGCTTCTCTCATTTTGCAAAGCACTCTTGTCTTGTTCTTTTCTCCTAATCTCCCAGCATCCCTGCCGAGAGATCCCAGCTTCTGCCTCAGCTAGAGGCTAAAAAAAAGACCTTTGAGTCTTAGTGGACTGCAAGCTCACTGTGAATCAGCAGTGCATCCAGGAGGGCCCCAGGAGCTAATGGCACCACTGTTCCTCTGTCTTTGTCAGCCGTCCCCTTGCGTTCCCTTCTAGGGGCCATGGTTCAGGAAGGTTGATGAATTGAGCTCATCTGGGGAGGGGGATCAGAGAACATCCGAGCTGGGGGCAAAGGGGAGACCATGCTACATGAAGGCTGGGTTAACTAGGCTTCCTTAGTGGAGAGGAGCGGGCTTGGAAAGAGAGCAAAGGATGAAAGGAGGGAAGGAAGGAAGGAAAGAAGCATTTATTGAGCACCTACTGTGTGCCAGGCACTGCTCTAGACACTTTACAAATAGTATCTCATCTGATCCTCACAGCCACCCTAGAGGTAGGTGTTGTTATTATCCCCATTTTATAGTGAGGAAATTGAGGCTGATGGTGATTAAATGATTTGCCCAGGGTCACAAAGCTAGTAAATGCCTGACTCCAGGCCCAGAGCTACATCTCCTTCACCACTTTGCTGCCTCTTAGGAGGCGATATTTGAAGGGTTGTCATGTGGAAGAAAGGAGTAGACTTATTTGATGTAGCCACAGAGAGCGGGACGAGGAACATTGGGGTGAAATTACAGGAAGGTGGATTTCAGGTCAGTTTGAGGAATGAGTAGTATAACAGACAGCTGACCCCAGAGGGAGCAGGCTGCCTCAGGAGGTAGTGAGTTCCCCACCGCTGGAGCCCTTTAAAGAAAGGCTGTATAACCATTTTTAGAATTTATTTTCATAAGAAAATTTAGTTAAGCAAAATAAATCAACCTGTCTGAAAACATCAGCCTCATTCAGCTTCCATAGGCCACCACCTCTGCTGATAGGCAGGAGGCACGCCTCTCCATCAGTCCTGGACCTTAGTTCTGAAGTTTTTCATTGGAAGCTCATTTGACAGCAATGTTCTAGAGCAGATTTCTGTTCCAAGTACAGGTTAGACCGGATACTTTCTGACAGGTGCTCTACCTCGTCGGTCCTGTGACGAGGGGTCCCCTGCATCTGGCTGCCAGGATTCCCCGAACAGGCCCTCTTCGGCCGTGGTTCAGGGTTCATCTCTGTTTACACTTGCAGGGATCGGGGGTGGGGCGTGACTCCCTCAGCCCTGAGGGGAATCAGTGTTTCCTTTGCCAGCCCCTGGATAGGTTGTCTCTTGTCTCTTAAGTTTGGACCCCATGGCCCCCGTTCCCTATTTCATCCAGTGTAACCTAATACCTTACTCCAGTCTCTGTTGTGTGGGACCTCATCCGGCTGAGCGCTCAGCCTCTCCTTTTCCTCTCTCGCAGGCACAGGCAGTAACCCTCACGGTGGCCCAGGCCTTCAAAGTCGCCTTTGAGCTTTGGCAGGTGTCCAGGGAAGGTGAGTCCTGCCTGGCCATGGAGGGAGCTCGCTCGCAGGCTCGGTCATGACACCTTGATCGGCAAGCATGCTCACCCCATTGATTGCTTGCTCAGCTCCAACTCTGTCCTCAGCCCTCCCAGATTGCCAAAACTTCCTTCCTCCCCCAACACCACCGGTGCTCATTCCCCTGATAGTCCAGGCCAGGGGTGGGAAAGCTATATACGGATGTAAGGCCAACATGAGGCCTTCTAGATCCTTAAGTGCAGCCTTTTGACAGAATCCAAATTTTAAAATTTAAATTTAAAATTTTTATTTTTTTTTTAATTTTAAAATTTGGAGTCAAAAGGCTGCATTTAAGGATCTAGAAGGCTCCATGTGGTCTTAAGATCACAGGTTCCCCACCCATGGTCCAGGCCCACCCCTGGTCCAGACCCTTCCCCTGCCTCCCCCCAAGACCCTGACCTCTGTTCCGTTGGTGTTTGTAGAGAAAGAGAAACGAGAGAAGGCAAGCTTAGAAGAGGTCGCCTGTGGTGCTCGGCGGGACGCTTCCCCTTCCCTGAAAGGCCGTGAGTCTGTGGGCTTGGGCAGGCATGGGGCTCCTGGAGAGCTGCAGCAGAAATCCAGCTGTGCTCTGAACACCTGCGTCTTGGCCCCTTCCCCTCCCAGCCACCGCTGTACACTCCACAGATGCTAAGGGGGTCCGTGGTTCCTGGGTGCCAGCTGTGGGTTCTGTTCATGTTCTGAAATGCCTACTTGCTCTGTGGCCCTGGACAAATCACTTTACCAATCACTGACCTTCAGTTTCCTCCTCTCTAAAGTGGGCGTAGTCAGCTAACCTCTCTTTAGCCTCCTGTATGCTGGGCACCGTGCTGGGCGTGGATACTCATAATGCATATGTCTGATACCTTGTTCACAGGGTGTTGTGAGGGTCAGATGAGCTCTGGTGTGCAGGTGCTTTAAAGGACTAAACAAATGGAACCAGCTGTTCTTTATTTATCTGTCATTCTCATTAATAAGGCCCTGCTTTAAGGGCCTAATGATAAGACAGTAGTTCTGCTGAGGACAGGAATGGAGCTGAAAGGAGCTGCATGAGGCTCCCAGGCTGGGCCCAAATAAGAAGCAAGGGAAAGAAAAAGAGGAACCTTTGGGGGAAGTGTGGGTACCTGGTCTGCCAGGCTGGTGGGGTGGGTGTTGGGGCAGTCTGAAGGAAGCTTGTGAGCCCATGGTGAGTGTGGGAGGGCTGGGAGGACCCTCATATCAGAGAATGTCAGAGCTGGGAGGGCCCTTAGAACACAGGATGTCAGAGCTGGGAGGGACCGTAGAACACAGGATGTCAGAGCTGGGGGCACCCCTTAGAACAGAGAATGTCAGAGGGCCCTTGGAACGTAGAATGTCAGACCTGGGAGGGCCCTTAGAACCTAGGATGTCAGACCTGGGAGGGCCCTTAGAACCTAGATTGTCAGAACTGGGAGGGCCCTTAGAACACAGGATGTCAGAGCTGGGGATGCCCCTTAGAACAGAGAATGTCAGACCTGGGAGGGCCCTTAGAACACAGGATGTCAGACCTGGGAGGGCCCTTAGAACAGAGAATGTCAGAGCTGGGAGGGCCTTTAGAACACAGTGTCAGAGCTGGGAGGGCCCTTAGAACACAGAATGTCAGAGCTGGGAGGGCCCTTAGAACACAGGATGTCAGAGCTGGGAGGGCCCCCGGAAGATCCTGTAGTTAGTGTGAGGGTTGGAAGGTGCTGGGGTGAAGAGTAGGGCCCAGACCAAGACCGTTTTCTGCTCCTTGGCGCCCCTGTGACCTTGGACAGATCCCTGAACTCCACTGGGCCTGAGTTTACTTCTCTGTGAAGAGGCAGCCATTGCAAATGACTCCTGAGGTCCTTTCCAGCTCTGATGCTGTGCCCTTATCCTATTCTAAGCTCTCTGGTTGGTGGTCACAGGCCATTCCTTTTCTGCTCAGGACACATGGGGAGAGTTGAGGGGAGAGGGTCCATCTGCCTAAATTCTTTTGCTTTGTGATCTCCTCTGTAGCGATCACCACTGGAAACCTGCTGGACCTGGAGGAAACAGCCAAGGCACCCCTGTCCACCGTGAGTGCCAATGCTGCCAACTTGGACGAGGTGGGCAGGCCTGAGCCCCTAGCCAATAACAACGTGGTCTGGGTGAGTCCCCTGAGCGGGAGGATGAGCAGAAGGAGAGAGAGGCTGTGCTGAGTGAGGTTGGCATGGTCACTGTACCCCACCCACCTTGACTGTGCGGTGTGACCACCCCTCTCCCCCCCAGGCCCTTGGTGTGTGCTCAGACGGCTCCAGTGCCCAGCCCTGCCTGGGCTTTGTAGGGGGTCAGTGACTTATTTGGGCTCCCAGGGTACCTGTGAGGAGGGGGAGGGGAAGAGGGGGAGACAGTGACCTCCCAGAACAGAGCACTTCCTCTTGTTAAATATGGACTGGTCTCCAGCGTCCAGCTGTGTCCCCACAAAGCTTCAGTCTGCTAGTGCCCAGCCTGCCCTGGGAGATTAGCTCCAAAACCCTCGTCCTGGGGCCTGGACGTGGGAGGTTAACTCCCCTGATGGCCAAAATGCCTCTTTCCCAGTGCTCAAAGGGGAACCTCTGGGGACAGGAAGGCCTTAGGTGACAGGCGGTGTATGTTAGGAGGCAGGGAAACCCAGGTTTCAGATCCAGCTTGTTCCCTGACTCGCTGTGACACTCTGGACAAGTCCCCTTACCTCAGCCTCAGTCTCTCCGTCTGTAGAAAGGGTATTTTTATAATTTCTACTTTGTGGGTGAGGATCAGCCGAGATAATTACATGCAAACTCCTTAAAAAAGGTTTTAGTCTGGGATATTTGCGGAATGACGTTTTGGATGATAGCCTAAATATTTCATAAGAAGCATAGATTTGTAGCTGAAAGGGATTTCACAGTCAGCTAGTCTCACCCTCTCATTTTACAGGTGGGGAAATCAAGGTTCACGGTCCCTTCCGACTGTCAGTCATAGGATGTCATCGGTTATTTGAAGATACAGGCCCTCAGCCCCAAGTGCCTAGGCTAAGGGTGGGATTGAGAGTCCCCTCAGCCTTTAGGCATACAGCAGGACAGTCTTTCTCTGCCCCTTCTAATTCTGAAGAGCATAAGTGAGATCAGTGACAGGCTGAGGACCAGTCCTAATGCAGGCCTTTTGTTTTCTCGTAGGAGCTAGATGACGGCCTTGATGAAGCCTTCTCAAGGTAACTGAATTGACACTGCCATGTTAGGAGGGACTGGGCAGGAGCCTGGAGGGACACAGCAGGGGAGGCCTCCTGGGGGAAGATGCAGAGCCCCTCCCTAGATTCATGAGCAGAGGGAGACAGAGGCCAACCAAGGCAGACAGAACCTTCCCCTTTTAATCAGGAAAAGGTAGAGGAAGGAAGAGGGGAGGGAGGGAGAACAAAAGAGAGAGAGAAAAAAGAGATGGGGGAGGAAGAGAGAGAAAGAAAAAGGGGAGGGAGAAAGAAGGGAAAAGAAAAAAGGGGGAGGGAGAAAGAGCAAAAGAGAAAAAACCAGATGGGGGGAGGGAGCAAAAGAAAAAGAGGGGGAGGGAGAGAGAGAGAAGAGAAAAAAAGAGGGAGACAAAGAGAAGGAGGGAGAGACAGAGGAAGAAGGAAAGTTGGCCACTTTAATAAGAGGCGGAGGAGGCCCTGGCCAGTGCAGAGGGCTGAGGAGATATCACTGGCTGACTACAGAATGGCCCCTCCTGTGTTCCCTTCTCTCCTCTTCTCCCCTTGACATGTCACAGTTCATTTGGGGTTAGTCAGTAACTACATGGTGAGTCCCAAGCCCCCACGCCTGGGCTTCCATGTTCACCCTCGGCATTTATATTCGAAGGGCCGCCTGGGGCCATGGGATGCCCAAGGATTTGTAGCAGCTGAAGCCCTGAGAGGGGGGTGAGGGAGGCAGCCCCCTTTCCCTTCCCCCACTGCCTCCAGTAACAGGGAGGGGAGAACAGTAACTTTGTGCAATCCTTTTTGGTTTAGCGAACTCTTGTTTTTCTGTTCTGTTTTTTGTTGCCATCTCTGGTTTCCACAAGGGATCCCTTCTCCCTTCTTCCCCAATGTGGAGCCATACCTTGTAACAAAGAAGAAAAAAAAGCAGACAGACAGCTCAGGCAGCCTAAGCAATACCTCAGCTGAGTCCGACAGCGTGTGCAGATTTCCACAGCCGTAGCCCCTCACCTCTGCCGGGAAAGGGAGGCAGCTGCATTTTTCTCCTCTCTTCTTTGGAAACACAGATGGTCATTCCATTCATCTTTGGGGTTGTTCTGGACATTTCCATTCCTGTGGTCATTCTCTAGTGTTCTTTTTAAAAATAGAATTTGTTGATATCTTTTGTTTATGTTTTAACATCACCCAGATTTCCCCATGCCGCTCTCCCCTTCCCCTACCCACAGAGCCATCCCTTAGAATAGAGGTTTTTTTTTTTAAAGACAAAAAGAATGGGAGGGGACAAGTCACCACAACCAATCAACCCCCAGGGAAAAAAATCTGATGTTCTATGCAGCTCTCTGACCGCCCCCTGCCAAAGACTGTGTCTTCTCTTAGCTTTTTGTTGGAGTCAGCTTGGCTCCTTATCATTTCACAATGTTTGGTTTTGTGGTTTTGAGTCGACTTCTTCCGTCTGACTTCGGTGTCACTCGGATGTGTTGTTTGCCTGCCTCGGGCTCCTTTACTTTGCCTCCTTTGCTTCGTGTTCATCCTATTTACCATTTTCTTGCAAAAAATAAGATTATTCCCTCCCATTCACAGGCCATCCCCCAATCAACGGGTGTTTACTTTTTCCCTCAGTTCTTAGCTACCAAGTACTTTCCCTACCTATAAGATAGGCTGGTCAGAGGTGTCCCATTTTACAGAAGAGTAACTCAAGGTTCAGGGAATTTATATAGGTTGCCCAGAGAGTAATTATTGAGCTCTGCCACTCAAACCGGGAGTCAGAAAACTCCAAGGCGTGGGATATGAGGGAGAGAGAGGCTGGGTCAAGAGACAGCTGAGTTTTTTCTTTCCTTTAGTCTTGACGTGGCAGAGTGGAAGGCCCCAATCGTTAGAATCTATTTCTTCTTCCCTGCTCATTTGATCTGTCTCTCCCCAACCTTCCCATCCCCCACTTCATCTCTAAGTTCCTACTCTTACTCAGGGTATTTCTTAACCCAAGCCATGTTAGGGAATTGTATAGCATGTACCCCTCCATTCTTACCTCCAGGGAGAAGGGAAGGAGCCCTGGCCTGAGAGGGAGGAGGTGCGGTTTTGTAATCCAGCCCAGCTACTAACTAACCCTTGTAACCTTGGACATAGCTGTAGACTCAGTTTTCTCAACTACGAAGTGAGCAAATTGCGTTAGATTAAAAAAATTTTTTTTCAATTAACAAGCATTTATTTTCTTTGCCTGTTACTTCTCTACAAAAAAAAAAGAAAAGGAAGGAAGGGAAGAAAGAAAGAAAGAAAGAGAAAATGTCTTGTAACAAATATGTAGAATCAAGCAAAACAAATTCCCACAGGCTAGAGTTTCTGTCATGGGTCCCCTTAGCAGTCTGGGGGAGTCTCTGGACCCTTTCTTAGAAGAATGTTTTTAAATGCATAAGATAACATGCATAGGATTACAAAGGAAACCTGTCCTTCTGAAATACAGTAATCAACTTATAAGTTCATGGACCCCTAGTCAAGAAGGTCCCTCCCAGCTCTGGGTTCTTTTTTTTTTCTTTTTTTGGTGAGGTAGTTGGGGTTAAGTGACTTGCCAGGGTCACACAGCTAGTGAGTATCGTCTGTCTGAGGCTGAATTTGAACTGGGGTCCTCCTGCCTTTAGGGCCAGTGCTGTATCCACTGTGCCACCCAGCTGCCTCCCAGCTCTGCATTCTAAGGATCAAAGGCCCCCATCTGATTAAAACCAACAGCGTTTTTATCTACTTCGAATAGGCTGGGTGGGAGCGGTCAGAGACAGTCTCTTCCTATGTCTGCCCTCAGCCGTCGCTGAGTCTTGTAACGTTCTTCCAGGCCTGCAGCCCCTGTTCTCACATCGCTCTCTTGCATTCTTCCAGGCTGGCCCAGTCACGGACGAATCCGCAGGTCCTGGACATTGGGCTGACGGCCCAGGACCTCCAGTATGCCCAGTGCCTCTCCCCGGTGGAGTGGGACAAGCCGGACTTGGGGGCCCCCGAGCAGGACGACCTCTTTGGCTTCTGAGCGTCCTCGGCCTGGCCCATGAGGCCAGCAACCGCTACACAAAGGGACCAGAGTCGTGCTCAGGACGTCAGCAGCCCCCACAGCCTGGCAGCCACTAGACCAAAGGCTTTATTAATGCAACTTTTTTTATCCTGCTTTTTTTCCTTGACAAACTGTAGGATGCTTCGAGCCTATTTATTCAGTGGACTCTCGGACAGACACGAGCGTCGTTCAGCGTCTCCCACGGGGTAGCGTGTACAGTATTATGCCCAGCCTTGTGGCTCCTCTCCGGGGGAAGCCAGCTTTTCTTTTACCACTTCTCTTTCTACAAAAGCAGGCTGCTTCCTCTTAACTCGTTCCCTCCCCAAAGAGCCGCCTGGGGGTCTCCTTCAGTTCTCCCGCGGAGAAGAGGGGCCGAGGACGGAGGGTGGGAGCCCTGCCGCCCAGGTGAGTGGGCTGCCCTTCCACTGACGCCAGCTGGGAGCTGGAGGCCAGCCTTCTCCCCATGGAGCAGCCCAGGCATGAGCTGCCTCCGGGAGCCTCTCTCATCCAAAGACTCAACAGCTTTGCACTTTAAGAAATGAACCCAAAGCCAGGTCTGAAGATGGCAAAGGAAGGTGCTGAGTCTGTAGATAGCTTTTAGCCTTCATCCTCAGGATGGGTTAGGGTTTAGACCCCTTGTAGCAGCTAACCCAGAACTGAGAAAGACAGTGTAGTATGGTGGGTGGAGCTGGCACCGGGGAGGCAGCCCTGCCACACGCTCTTCAGGCCCTTGAGCCAAGCCCTTTCCCCTCGCTGGGCCTCAGTTTCCCCATTCAGCAAAGGGGGAAGAGGGTTGGACTTCCAACTCCAGCATCCTGTGATTCTGCCTTATTAAAAGTTAACTGACCTCTGACCTCTGTCATGCTGTCCCGTCACATTGATGAGATTTGTCCGGTGACTGGCCGTGAACTCAGCTTCTGCCGGACTCTTCCCTGCTCCCACTGGGGGTGAGAAAAGCAGCCCTTCCCTCTGAATTTTGGGAGCTCCGGGTCCCTTTTCTCTCAGTTCTGTGTGGTAGGGAAGTCACCGGTAAGAAATTGGTTTCATCGGTGTTGGCCAGGGCCACCCTCTTCTCTCTGTCCCCCCAATAAAAGAGCACACCGGGTTTGGGCCTTGGTTTTCTGCTCGACCGTGCCCGGTGCCTGGCCCCAGAAGCCCCTGGGCCCTGCTCCTCCCCCTTAGACATGAGCAGTCCTGGCAGCGTGTGATCCTGGCTGAGACCCCTGGTGGAGGAGGGGACTGAGGGGCCTCGTTCAGACCCGTTTGGTTGGAACAGGAAGCTAATGAAACTTGGCGTTTGTCTTTAAAATGTTTACTTGTTGTGTGCCCTTAGGCAAGCTTCTTCCCTTGGTTTTTCTTGATCTGTTTGATGTGGGTGTTGGGTTAAGTGATTCCTTCCAGCTGTTGTCATGTTTTGAGATCTTTTCCAGTTATGACATCCTGTGTTCTAAGGGCCCTCCCAGCTCTGACATCCTGTGTTCTAAGGGCCCTCCCAGCTCTGACATTCTGTGTCCTAAGGCCCCTCCCAGCTCTGACACCGTGTTCTAAGGCTTCTCCCAGCTCTGACATTCTGGGTTCTAAGGGCCCTCCCAGCTCTGACACTGTTCTAAAGGCCCTCCTAGCTCTGACATCCTGTGTTCTAAGGCCCTCCCAGCTCTGACATCCTTTGTTTTAAGGGCCCTCCCAGCTCTGACATCCTGTGTTCTAAGGGCCCTCCCAGCTCTGACATCCTGTGTCCTAAGGCCCCTCCCAGCTCTAACATCCTGTGTTCTAAGGGCCCTCCCAGCTCTGACATTCTGTGCTCTAAGAGCCCTCCCAGCTCTGACATTCTGTGCTCTAAGGCCCTCCTAGCTCTGACATGCCGTATTCTAAGGGCCCTTCTGGCTTTGACCTTGTATAGCTCCGTTCATTCTCTCTTGTCCTACCCCAAGATGTCCTTCAGCTCCCTAAAACACATGGGCTGGGAACACTGCTGGAACATCTCAGTGTCCTGTCAGCCTAATAGCAGAGCCCAGCAGTTCTGGGAAAAGAAGCTGTCTTCCTCTATGTCCCTGCCTCTTCAGTTCTTGAATTCACACTTGTCGCCAGTGGCAGCCTGGGTGTGCCATGGGTCCCTGTGTCTGGTCTAGGGGAAGCCTCCACATGGCGGGCCTGGGGGGAGGTGCAGTTGTGGGGAGGAGTCATGAATTCTTTCTGAGAAAGATCAGCCCCGGCATCTGCACCATGCCTGGGTGGCTCCTTTCCTCAGGGTCCCTTGTGTCTGTACTGCTGGCCTCCCTGCTGGCTGGCTCTCATTGGGGTTTGGTTTTTTAATGTTGTAAAGAGCATTTTGTGGAGGAAAAGAATTAAAAGTTCTCTCCCTTTTGGGAGGGGAGAATAGAAGTTGATCTAGTACTTTGAGGTTTGCAAAGCACTTTAGATTAAGCAATGAATCAACCAGCTGAGTGCCCTCCACCAGCTTGTGTTTTAGGGTGAGTCTGTGCATGCGTATATACACACATATAATAAACATGGCGTAGTGGATAGAAAGCTGGCCTTGGGAGGACCACCTGGGTTCAAACCCCACCTCCCATGTTCTGTGTGACCCTGGGCAAGTCACTTAACTGCTTAGTGTGCTAGGCAATTCTCAAAAGATGGAAGTTCTTTTTGTGTGTGTTACAGATCCCTTTGGCAGTCTGGTAAAGCTTACGGGGTCCTTCTCAGAAACATGCTTTTAAATGCATCAAATGAAACACATAGGATTACACAGGGAACCAATTATGTTAAAATACAATTATCAAAGTGGTTAATGAGTCAAATAAACAATGGAAGCATCCTGACTGTCCAGCCCCCAAAACAGCAGGTGTTGCTGAGCTAAGGATGTAGGTCTGGCAGGCTGTCTTGACAGGCTCCAGGAACACTGAGATCCCCCTTGGAGAAGGGATGTGACCAGGACAGGAACCTCCCCACCCTTGGAGGAGAACCTGCTTGTTGGTTTAGTGAGAGAGGGTGTGGGCAGAAATGTGATTGCTGTCTTCACAACTTTGAAGGGCTGCTGTGAGGAATGGGGCAGACCTGGGAATGTGGGACCAGGTACAGAGGTGGGACCAGGAGGAGGTGGGTGCTTCCTAGCTATTGTGTGGTACTGCCTTTCAGCCACCCCTAACCCCAGCTTGCACTGGAAGATTGGGTTCCCTGGAGGTTCCAGGTATTCCGTGGGTGCACACTCCTAAAAACTATAGCTCATGAGCCCCCACGGAGGTATTCTCCTCGTCCCTTCAGCCAGAGAACGCAGTTAGCTTGAAGCAAAGGCGTTTATTGGAATGACAGTGTAAGAACAGTAACAATACCACATTCTTCCCCTCCCATAAACCTGGGGTACACTCTCACAAATACACAGCATTGGTAGTGTTAACAAATAAAGAGGCCCAAAAATGTGGCCAAAGTGTGTTCAGAGGGATATTTCGGGTACTACTGGGGCTAAAGGATGCTGCTTTATTCATTGCCTCGAGTCATGACCACCTCCATCTTTGAGCTTGCCAGGTGCCCTGCCACACACCTTAAGGACAGTGAAGCCCACAGCGTAAGACCACAAGAATCTTGTCTCGGGAGCTTGTCGTCTCCCCAGCAGCAGAGCGCAGGCTCTAGGTGCCAGCCTCTGTGTCTTTCTCATTGCCAGCTTGACTCTCCCTCAGTTGAGACTGATTCTATGGGCATTACTATGTGTTTCTGCCGCAAGATGCCAATAATGTTGATGTTAGAGGGAGGAGAGAGAATCATCTCACCTTGACGCATGTGCAAGAAATAAAAGGAAAGAAGGGATGTGCAAACACAGTCGGCTGGATTCACTCCTTCATCCAAATGCCTTTATTAGCAGTAACCAAAAATACAACAGGCTGCCTCAAAAGGTACTGAGTTGGAGCAGCTAGGTGGGGCAGTAGATAGAGCACCGGCCCTGGAATCAGGAGCACCTGAGTTCAGATCTGGCCTCAGACACATAACACTTAGCTGTGTGACCCTGAGCAAGTCACTTAACCCCATTGCCTAACCAAAAAAAAAAAAAAAAAAAGTAATGAGTTCCCCATCCCTGGAGGTGTTCAAGCAGAGGCCAGATGACCAGTTGTTGGGAATGTTGTAGTTGGATATTCATTTGTTAGACAAGGTGTTGGACTTGATCACCTCCTGAGTGACCCACCTCTAGGATCTGAGGAATTTTACCTTCCTTTTAAGGCCTTAAGATTCCTTGATGGGTATACAGGACAAGTAATAAGTTGTTGGGGGCAGCTAGGTGGCAAAATGGATAGAGCACTGGACCTACAGTCAGGAAGACTCTTAATGAGTTCAAATCCAGCCTTGGACATTTACTAACTGTGTGACCCTAGGCAAGTCACTTAACCCTGTTTGCCCTCAGTTTCCTTATCTGTCAGCTAGAGAAGGAAATGGCCAACCACTCCAGTATCTTTGCCAAGAAAGCCCCAAATGAGGTCGTGAAGAGTCAAACGCAACTGAAAGCTATTGGGGGCAGTTGATGGTATGGGGCTGAACACCATTTGTTAAGTACCTGCTATGTGCAAAGCACTGACCATTCAGACAGGACTTGAGACCCTATGATGAAAAATAACTTTCTTCCTTCAAGGGGCTTACAGTCCAGTGGCATGTCAGTAGAAGATGCAACACACACATGAGAAAGGAAGACACGATGTGAAAGGTGATGAAGTCATCGTAAGGTCTGGTAACGCACCATATACCATTTGAAGTGGAAGAAGGCACTTTTACCTGAGGGTGGGCAGAGAAGGATGTACATTTGGGCCTTGAGGGAAGGATGAGAAAGACTTCAACAGATGGAGAAGTAAAGATGGGGCAGGCAAGCACAGAAATGAAGAATATTGAGGTTGGAAATGAAGCTGGGAGATAGGTTGTAGAAGCCTTGAATGCCAGAGTCAGGAAGGAAGGTTGGAAGGAAAGAATGAAATAAGCATTTATTAAACACCTACTATATACCAGGCACTATGCCAAGTGCTTTACAAATCTCACAATAACCTGGGGAGGTAGGTGCTATTATCCTCATTTTACAGGTGAGGAAACTGAGTCAGATTAAGTGACTTGCCCAGGGTCACCTAGTTAGTAAGAGTCTGAGGTTCAGATTTGAATTCTGGTTCACAGACTCCCAGCCTGGGGCTCTGCATCACAGTGCCACCTAGTGGCAGTTATTCCATAGCAGTGATGACAGTTTCTTGAAATGACTAGAGCAGACCTACAACTGGAGATGGAGGAATCTCCAAGTGGTTTGGTAACTAGGCTAAGCCTTTTGTGTTATACCCAGGTCCTAGGGGGATCAGCTGGGAGCCATCTCTCGCCCAGGATAGGGGATCTCAAGTGCAGTGGGAAGCTTGAGCGTTGGAGGATCTAGATTCAGATTTTTGACCTGATGCTTCCCGGTGGCTTAGAGGAAAGTCACTTCTCTGACTGAGGCACAGATCCTTGCTTTCCCACGACCTAACTGGTCTCTAGACCCAGTAGCAGCCGAAGCTGTGTGGAGGAGGGGTTTTGGCCAGAAGGCTGCCCAGACCGTCTTGTTCTTGGGGTCAGGAGCCGAAATTCCCTGGTGAGTCACACCTGGTTATGTCTTGCCTTTGACTCTCTGCGTTGACCCTTAATAAAAGGGCTTAATGGCTGAATCGAGACCCTTTCAAGTTCCTTCAAAAGTCAGAATTGACGTCCTGGCCCAGAGGGCACTCATCCCCTACGTGTGCCAGTCTGTGCCTTGTGAAGGTTTCCTTTCCCATTTATCTTTCAGTCTCTTTCAAGTGTTGGAGCTACGAAATATTTGGTGTTTGCAAGTAGCTCCCAGAACACGAGACCCAGACACTCTGA